GAGGTCCTAATTCCAAAGGAAGGAACTCTCCCACCTGGAAACACAGCACGGATTCCACTGAACTGGCAGCTGAGAATGTCCTCTGGCCACTTTGCGCATATCATGCCTTTGGATCAACCAGTCAGGAAATGTCACTGTACTGAGTGGTGTGATTGATCCTGATTACCAAGGAGAAATTGAACTAGAGCTACATAATGGAAGTAAAGGAAAATATGTCTGGCATCCAGGAGATTCCCTAGGCCATCTTTTAGTACTATGATGCCCTGTGATTAAAGTAATACCCTGTGACTGGATGTCTAATGACCCAGAGCCTCATAAAAGGAGGTCTGAGTCAACCCACCAGGCAAAGAACCAAGGCCAGCTGAGGTGCTGGCTGGGGGTAAAGGTTATACAGAATGGTTAATAGAAGAAGGTAGTTCTACCTATCAATTATGACCACGTCATCAATTGCAAAAACAAGGTTTGTGATTGTCAGTATTTCTTCTTAATATGTGCTTATTGAATATCTTTGCTTTGTTCATGTACAATATACCAGATACAACTAGATTCCATGTGTTTTCATTTATATGTATGATAGATGTATGATGTTAAGTGTAAGTGTGATTTTATGAATGCCTGGAAATTACATATGGCTAAAAAATTGTGTACAGCTGCCAAGTTGTCAAGGAGTAGACTGTGATATTTGGGTTTAGTGTGCCAACCTGGCCAATAGGAACATGTGGGATTAATCAGGTCCGAGCTTGATTGGAGCACAAAAAGATAAATGACTCTGCAAGGCCCACCCATCTCTCTTACTCTCTGGTGTTAAGACCAGCGTGCTGCTATTTTAGCTAGTTTCTCTGTCTCAATCTGTGTGCTACAGTACCTGTTGGGCAAGTCAACCCAGGGATCATGACTCTAGAGCTTGAGGCTCTTACAAGACTGTCTTCTCCACTCAGCTGGTGCATACATTGCTTGATTTTGAGGCTGGTGGATGCTATCACCTTGTATTGTTTGAGTTCAATATTCCATCCAGGCCTGCTTTGCTAAACACCAGAGCTATTGACTGATGCTGACCCACCTTGCTGTTTGCTGCCTGCAGGCAGACTCTGGCTGCCTTGCCCAAGGGAGGACTCCACTATCTGCTTCCTTGACCTTGCATCTGCCAGCCCACGTGAGTTTATGGGCTTCCAGTATATTAACTGTTCCATGGAAGTGAATTGAACTGAGCCCTTTGTACTGCTGTGTGGACTAAATAGCTGTTTTATTCTTTCTCGCTGTACAAATCTATGTATTTATCTATCTACAATTATGCGTCTTGGTTTCTTTTTCTCTAGATAACCCTGCTCCACACAAAGGGATTGGGATTTTATGAATGTTACACAGGGATAGATTTACAATATGGCTTTCACTCACATATCTGATTCTTCAGTGCTTATTCATATGACCTAACTAACCCTAGAGAGATACTGAGTAACAGTTTGGGCAGCAGGAACAACTGAAGCATTAAGTGCTTTAATTTGTCCTATAAGGCCTCTCTTTTTGAAAAATTTCCCAGAAATTATCACTAACCAGAATCCTAGAGGAGCTGTGCTTGTACATTATAAAGCTAGTTTGGTGAACTTTTGCAGATGCCATTGACATCCATTGAGATCTCCTTTATTGGGTAGTGCACCATCCTCCATCTGCTATGAGCTTTGTTTTATAACAAGTTACCTTGCACATTCTGAGTGCTCCACATGAGGGGTTCTCAGTCTTTGAGGCTATACCATACCCTGTCCCATAAGCTGACTTTGACTAATGACTGTCAGACAAAGAAAAACAAAAAAATCAGTCTAAGGTTGGGACCAACTCTGTGATATCATTTTTGCTCTGGAGCATCCTTGTGGGATTACACTTAAAATAAGCTCCAGTTGAGATCTACCTTCTTGCTTAGTTTTATTTGTCTCTCTTACAGTTCTCTCCTTACTCTTTTTATTTTTGCCTGAAAAAATGCCAAATATTTGAAAACCAGAATTTGTTTCAGGTTGACTCTGCTTTTTGTGAACCTAAACTAAAACATTCCTTATACACTAATTGCAGATCTTATCAGATGCCATCAATCTATATATAACCACTATTCTGAGAATTATTCCTTTTCAGTTTTTCCTTTTGAAATTTTACCCTATATACACATTGTTATTGTTAAGTGCCATCAAGTCAGGACTGACTCATAGCAACGCTATGTACAAAAGAAGGGAAAACTGCGCCATCCTCACAATTGTGCAGTTGCAGCTTATCATTTCAGCCACTGTACCAATCTATCTCTTTGAGGATCTTCCTGTTTTACTCTGCCTCTCGACTTTACCAAGAAGGTTGTCCTTTTCCAGAGTATGATCTGTCTTTATACCATGTCCCAAATACTTGAGACTAACTATCGTTGCTTCTGGGGACCATTCTTGCTGTATATCATCCAAAACAGATGTGAGGGTTTTGCCGTGCATGGTACTTTCTATATTTTTTGCGAGCACCATGATTTAAATGCATTGATTCTTCTGCTGTATTTCATACTTTGTTGTGTTTTTCCTGTTTCAGAAATTTGTATGAATGCTATTATTGTGTACTTGTGCTCCTAAGATTAGCTTGCACTAAACACTCATTGACATTGATACATGCAACTTTATTGTGTTTACTTTCACTGCTCCGTACAATAAATATAATAAAATATAGAACATTAATTATATCATATAAATGTAACGAAATGTGTTATCCATTCTTCTATTGATGAAAATTTGTGAAAAAAATATTTTATGGTTTTTAATTAAAATAATAATATTGCAACAAATATTCTTGTATTTATCTCAGCATACACGTGTAAGATTTTCTCTAAGGAAAATGTGCAGGTGAGAAAGCACTGGGTCATAGATTATTGAAATATTTAACTTTATTAGGTGTTCACCAATTACTTTCAGAATTGATGGTACCAATTAAAATCCCATAAGAACCATTAAGGAATAATTAATTTTCCTCCACATCCTCTATAGCACTTGATGTTGTGTGATTTGTATTTTAAAATTTTGCCTATTTGTGTATGTGATATTGAATCTTATTATAGCTTTAATGCCAATTTTCTTGACTGCTACTAAGGCTTGGTTATTTTCCATACATTAGTATATACACTTTCTCACCTGTGAAACTCTTGCTATAATGTTTTACCCATTTTGTATTAAGTATATTTTTTGCTACTGAGTCAGTTCTTCTGGGGATTATTCATTTATTGAAAACAATGTATTGCATACTTTTCTAGCTTACCCCTTGATCAGTAGGAAATATCATGATGAACAGAGAAAGGACTGAAGTTGTCAAGGATTTCATTTATTACTTGGATCGAGCAATAAAGAGATCAAATGAGTCATCATTAGGTAAATCTGCAGCACAGAATCTCTTTAAACTGTTGATAAGTTAGGATATTACTTTGAGGACTTAGGAGTGCATTATCCAAGTCATGATATTGTCAATAGGTTCATATACATATGGAAGTTGAACCCTGAAGAAAGAACACTGATGAAAAATCAATGCTTTTGAACCATAATGTTGGCTAACAGTAGGGAAAGTACCATGAATTGCTAAAAGAAGAAACAGATCTATCTTGGAAGTATACCTAGAATGCTTCTTAGAGTCAAGGATGGTGTGATTTTTTTCTCAAGTACTTTGGACATGCTATCAGGCGTGACCAACACCTGGAGAAGGACACCATGCTTGGTAAATGAGAGGAACAGGCAAAAAGAGGAAGACCCTAGACAAGATGGATTCACACAGTGGCTATAACAATGGGTTGAAACATAAGAGCAACCGTAAGGATGGCACAGGATAAGAAGGTGTTACCTTTTGTTGGTCATAGGGTAATTATGAGTCAATATTGATGCAACAAATTCTAACAGCAATAAAAGTATTTAAAATTTGTGTTTAAAATGTAAAGAAGAAGCACAGAAAGTTTGAGTATTCAGATTAATGAATCACCACAAGAAAACACCAAGTAACCACTTTGAAATCATCATGAGTTTCCCTGATTCTAAAGTAGTTCCCTAGGATCCATTTTAAAGATGCTTTATATTGTATAGTTAAGTGTTAAAAATTGCATTGTGTTGATCCAGCTAACTAGCTAATCTATTTTGTGATTCCCCTATTGGAATTCATCATAAATTCCACATTGCGCCTTTTTCTATGACCAATAACTCTAATGCCATCATGTATCAGATCAATCTGAGCCATTCACAGTTAATTGCCTGATCATCCATGCATACTTCCGAGATTCCCTTTCATCAGTTTTTGACATGGCGCTTCCTGAGTTATCACACACACACACACACACACACACACACATACACACACACACCCTCCATAAACATGTTCTCCCTCATGGCCATACCAAATGTGGGTTGCTACGATAAAAGAAAATAAAACTTGTAATCCAGCTTATCAACAATGATGATTATATGCCTTGCTCCCTCCTAACGAGGCCACACTCCTCCTGTGCTAAGGTTCAGCCCAGCTATATGGTTTGTTGTGCCAGGTAGCGCTCCTGCATATATTTCTTCCAACACCACCCCACCCCCACCTCCCCCCATGCTCATATGCTCCTCCGATAACTGTTCTCCTGGCCTTGGGGTCTGTGAGGACCACTCAGGGCATTTTTGCCACCATGCAGATTCCAGGGCCTTTGTTGGATCAAGCCACTGGGAAGGAGCCCCAGGGACCTGTTTTTTCCAACAAACTGAAAGTGACTAGCTCCACTCACAACCCAAAGATTCCACGGGGAACTATAACTGAGGAGGAACATAAGGGGAAAAGAGGCCAACAGGGCCCTTTAAAATGCACTATTAGGGGCAGAATTATTCTGGTGCTAACAGAAAGAAACAAAGACAGAGAGGGCAAGCACGGTTTATTGCGGAACGTGCTCAAGCCGAAAGGCCAATCTCAGCTGCCCCTGGTACCCCTGTGTCCCAAGGCTTCCGCCAGTCCCCTACTGTGCTCAGAGTTTTCTAAAAACACTTCCTCTCCACCACAGTTGGCCCATGCTCCTTGAAATCAGCAGAGGTAACCCACATCTGCTTGAAATTACTCTGAGAGCTCATGACAGACGCGCCGATCCACCCGGAGAAACACCTGTCAAGGGAAGCAGTGATCTTGATGGGGCTCCCTTGGGGAGCTACCAGCTCCAGTTCTTTCAAGAGGCGTTCCTCGAAACCAGGGAACAGAGTGGACCCCCCAGCCAGCACAATATCCGCAAAAAGGTTGGTCTGGATGTCCATGTCACACTTCAAAATGCTACTCTGGATCATTTTTGAGATCCCAGGGCTGTGGATGCCCAACTGATCAGGAGCAAAGAGGGCCTCGGGCACTTGGTACAGTTGATCTCCAATGTTGAAGACAGTCCCGTCTGGCAGTCTGTATTCTCTCAGGAACTCCTCAGGCTTCTTGCATTGTTCCTTCTCTGGATCGTAGGCCACGTAGCACAGCCTCTCTTTGATGGCGTGCACCAGGCTGCTGTTGAACACGCAGGGATTGTTGTTTCTGTTGGCTAGGAGGAGCTGGGAGAGGTGCTCTGTGAGATCTCTTCCGGCCAGGTAGAGCTTGTTGGAGGCATGAGGCAGGGGGTAACCCTCAAAGATCGGGACAGTGCAAGTGACCTCAGCTCCACTGTCCAGTACGAGGCCGGTGACACTGGCAGAGGCATACAGCACTCCCACCGTTTGATTACACGGATAAAAGGCAGGCACATTGAAGGTCTCAAACATTACTTCTGCCATCTTCTCGTGGCTCTGCCTTGGGGTTAAAGGGGGCTCGGTCATGAGCACGGGCTGCTCGCTGGATTTCACGCCGAGCTTATGCTCAAAAAGATGTTGCCAAAGCTTCTCCATGTCATCCCAGTTTACGACCAGGCCACGCTCAATGGGGTAGCGCAGGTACAGGACCTCATTCTTGGGTGGGGCTTCACCCTTGACGGCATAGTTCTTTGGATTGCCGCCTTCGGAAGACAAATTCAATCTCGGGTGCCTCACGACAGAGCGGATAATGTGGCGAGGTCTAGTCTCCCCAGAGAACCCTAGTTTACAGAGTCCAGAGCCATTGTCAAAAACCACAGCGGGAGTGTTGAAGCTGTACGGATTCAACATGTCTACCACAGCTTCCGCTAAGCTCCTCCCAAGTTTCAAGAGAACCCTAGAGCAGCTTCGGATAGCTTGAAGGTCACAGGTTTCCACTGTCCTCAGGTTGTCCCCCAGATGGAACTACAAGACTCTGCTCAAACCCCGAGGAAACACAACTTTACCCCATGAATGTGTCCTCCTCCTCTTGCCGGGCAAAATGTCTGCTGTGGCCTTTTCAAGGATGGTTACCTGCTGTGTAACAATGTAACCTAGCAACCATTGCCCTCAGCAAGCACCAGGGAGACCTTAAAGGGGCAAGGCTCTGACCCACCAGCACATCCTGCTTAGTGAAATATGAAACAGGAAAAATTAAACCATTTTTACCTATAGGTGGCTTTCAAAAATCCTGTGACTCCAAAGCAGAGGCCTGTCTTTAGGATATGTCCCAGCAGTCTCTCTATTAGATTTATATCCCAAATTAATCAGAAGCCAAAGAATAATATATGCATGCTCATGTTCATCACAGAAAGCCTCTGTCACCAACTGGTTCTGGACAGTGGACCTGGGGTCACTGAGCCGGGAGAGGTGCTCTGTGAGATCTCTTCCAGCCAGAAAGGGTTTGTTGGAGGCATGAGGCAGGGGGTAACCCTCAAAGATGGAGACAGTGCAAGGGACTGTCATGAACATGAGCATGCTTATACCTATTATTCTTTGGCTTCTGATTTATTTAAGTTATAAACCTAATAGGGAGATTGCTGGGTCATATTCTAATTCTACTCCCAATTGTTGGAGGAAGTACCATCCTCTTTTCCATAGTGGTACAGTTTCACAGTCCCACTAGCAATGTATAAGGATTCCAATCTCACCGAATCCTGTCCAGAATTTGTTACTTCCTGTTTTGTTTTTCACTTTGCTATTGATGACAATTTGCTGTGAATTGTGGTGATGCTGGAAGGTTTGTCACTGGTATTTTAAATATTGTCAGATAGTAATGTTGTGGCTGTTACATAATCTCATGTCAATTTGAGCGAAGGTGTGGATTCTAGCCTGTTAATTAGGTTACAGCTTGATGACCTCATTTGAAAGAACAATGGAAATAAGTAGCTCACTGGAGGACAAACCCACTCTCTCTGCCTTCCCATTCCTTCTGCTGAGATACTCAAAGAGCTGGAGGAGACAGGTGGAGAACCACACCAGAGTTGAGATGCTTCCACTGCCACTGGATCCACAAGATCTACCCACTTGTCGAAGTTCTTCCTGCATTTGACATCATTGCATGTGCTGCACGAGTCTGAGGAATTTATGGACTAGTATCCGATATATGTGCTAATATCGGACTTATGGACTTGACCTGGACTGGGCCGGGATGTTTTCTTAATATTCAATTACTTTTTAACATAAATTTCTCTCTAACATAACACATATATGAATGTCTCTGGATTTGTTTCTCTGATCAACGTTGACTAACACAAACATCCTAAGGCATGGAAACAGAACTTTATCAGAGACAGTTCCAGAGAATGATAGTATTATTAACAACAGTAAAAAGATGGAAACAAACAGATTGTCTGTCAATTGAAGAATGAATAATTAAACTTTGGTTCATGCATATGGTAGAATATAATGCATCCCTAAAGAATAATGATGAAACTATAAAATATCACACAACATAAACAAGTTTGAATGATATTATGCTGAGCAAAGTTAAGTCAAGAACCCAAAGAAAATACTGTATAAGGAAAATGTTTCAAGAAAAATATTTTTACCACAAAATAAGCATAGCATGATGGTAATGATGAAATCATAGTGAGACAGGAGGGAAAGGACACGACAGGGGAGGAGAAAAGTTCATAGAAGATTAGAATTAAACAATAATTGAACTGTAAAATATAAGACAATAAAATGGCAAGTACCTATAAAATAGAACTTATTAGAAATTACCAAAATAGGAAATCTGAATAGACCACATGTTAAAATTCTATAACTAAGAAAATATTTAAGCTAGATTGGCATATCCACTACATTCAAATCCTTTTTAAGGAACAAGAAATACATGTTTTATACAGCCTTTTATGAATAATGAAAATGGACATACAATTTAAGTCACTTTATCGGAGTTAGTGTGATCTTGATATTAAAATCAGACAAGGGTAGTACAAAAGGAGTTACTTACCACTGACACAAAACTCATAATGAAAACATTTTTAACACAGTCAATACTGTATTAAAATTATGTATCATCATCAATGCTGGGATCATCTGGACAATGAAAGTCTGTTTTAATATCTAAAACTCTACTAATGTAATGTACAACATTAGAATATTGAAGGAAGAAGAAAGAAGAATGTCAATAGGAACTGGTTTCCAGGCATCACCATTCTGAACTGGCTTTATATCTTGGGCTTAGTGACACTACATAGCGAAAGGAAATGTATTTTTTTTCACATTCTTTCTATAAAATGTTTTAATCGTTTTATTAGGGGCTCATACAACTCTTAACAATTATGTAAAGCACATTTGTACATTCATTGCCCTCATCATTCTCAAAACATTTGTTCTCCCCTTAAGCCCCTGGCATCAGGTCCTCATTTTTCCCCTCCCTCTCCCTCCCTCATGAGCCCTTGATAATTTATAAATAATTATTTTACCATATCTTGCCCTGTCCGATGCCTCCCTTCACCCACTTCTCCACTATCCATCCCCCAGAGAGGGAGGTTGTATGTAGATCCGTGTAATCGGTTCCCCTTTCTCCCTCACCTTCCCTCCATCCTCCCAGTATGGACACTCTCACCACAGGTCCTGAGGGGTT